ACTAACTTTGTGTCTCCTCTCTCCCGTAGTGTGTCCTCTCTCTCTCTCCCTGTACCTTTCTGCAGGTTGCCCTGGCCCTGGAGCTCTATGTCTCTGACGAGCAGTCACCAGCCACATCGACCTGATCAGTGTTTGATTGTTGTGTCTTGTTGCTTTTCTTCTTTTGTCTCTCCTCTATCCACTCACCCCAACCGGTCGAGGCAGAAGGCCGCCCACCAAGAGCCGGGGTCTGTCGGAGGTTTCTTCCGTTAAAGGGAGTTTTTCCTCCCCACTGTCACCAAGTGCTTGCTCAAGGGGGATTTGTTGGGTTTTCCCTCTGTAATAATATTGATAACAGTAAGGTCTAGACCTTAGTTTGTAAAGTGTCCTGACATGACTTTTGTTGTGATTTGGCGCTATACAAATAAAATAGATAAAGTAGATTCACTCCTCTTTTCATTATCAGTCACAGCACACAGCGGGAACTGTGGCTTTTTAAGAACGGGATACTCGGTCACAAGATGGCGCCCAGTTCCAGCCTCTGAAAGCTGCTACTACTTGGTGCTTCCAGATTGTGCCCATAAAATTTCTATAAACGATTTCTGTGAGTGTGTAATTCCGTTCATCTTAAAGGGTCCTTTTAGGTAACTGATAACCTGATAATGACAAAGAACGGTGTCATCTACTAACACACACTTGTTTTACACATCAATAACTTCCTGGAAAGTTCCTGACAATAGTTATAAATAGAGGTGTCGCTAGCCTTCAACTACAGCAAGACTTTTACTCAGCTCCTGCAAAACAGGTGAAATCTCTCTGAAATTCACCATGAAGACTAATGTTTCCAGTAACCAATAAAGGATGAATCAACATTTATTTTGATGTAAATGGAGCAGGTGCCTGTGTCGACAACAGTTGCCGAACTTAATCTCCATTTTCCAAATAACATGATTCTTTAGAAAGTAAGGAAGGCACATGACGAAGCAGCCAAACAGCAAACATGCTGAGGTGACGCTGCTGTGTTTCTGCTTATGAAGCATCTAGAAACTGAACTGAGCACCAACAAACACTTTTTATCACTTCACCTGTTTCATCAGAGTATCACCTTCACCAGTGGCTCTTCATCAGTGCCTCCTCCTCCTCCTCCTCCTCTTCACTGTTGCTTTCTACACAAGCAGCGACAGTGACCGCTGCTGGTTTTTGCTTTTGCTTTCTGTCTCACCGCCCAAGGGGGGGGGGGGCAGACCTGTCTGTGTGTGTGTGTTGGGGGGGGGGGGGGCATGCCACGCCCCTGTCTGTCTGTGTGTGTGTGTGTGGTGTGTGTTGCTGTCTGTGTGGACCTGGTCTAGTCAGTCTGTGTTCCCCCTGTGAAAGTCCCACAATGTGTGTGATAGCCTGAGTTGACTCATTAGAGCAGGAGGCACCAGAGGTCAAAGGTCAGAGGGTGGCAACAACAACAACAACACAAGCCTGAGACTGGTCCTCATCATAACTATCACAACACCCAGCCTTTTAGCACTACAACCCCACGGCTTTAAAAAGCAGCCTACTTGTCTACATGTTTTTAAAAGTATGAACTACATTTACATTCAGTATACATTACTTATTATATAACAACTTTTAAAAGTATGAACTACATTTACATTCAGTATACATCACTTATTATATAACAACTTCGTGGCAATACACTTTCCACTGTCCGCTCCGCCGTGACTTCACTGAAAACCACACGTTTGTAAAGATAAAACATTTCGTTGTGGATTACTGAGGCACTGAATAACGTGTTTTGGATGGTTACGACCAGAGACAATGACACTAACCGCTATCACCATGATATTACCTCCCGTCTAAATGGCAGGTTTATGGAGGTCGTCACACCAATCTCCATTTAAAAATCCCGCAGTTTAAGATGAACTCTCTCTGTCGCTATTTGATTGTCTTACCAACAAAATTCATTGGTTTGTCTTCATCTTCAGGAGCTACAACTCCATCCGACAAAGAAGCATAGAAAAAAGGAACATATTTAAATCATATCTTTAATTTTCTTTTTATCACAACTGCCACCGGAATGAATGTTCTTGACATATTATTCAAGTAATGTCTTCGGTCATGTTCAGTACGACGTGACTTTGTAATGATGACTACAGCGGCGTTAAAACTGCCAAATTTTGAACGGAGTTTGGCGTCAGGCTCTTCCCGTATGTTATCTGAATAACTTCTGGACTCACCGGACCAGGCTGAGCGTTTCAGATGAGTCCAGAATGACAAACACGGTCTGCGGCTGCAGGATCCCGACCTCCTGCTGATCCGGCTCGGGTCCAGGTCGGTTCTGGGTCTGGTCCGAGCTGACAGCTGACATTTCTCCAGAGACAAGGTTGTTTGAGCGTGCAGAGATCGGACTGTGCACCACAGAGAGGGGCTTTATTTCCCAGCAGCCACCGCACGATCAAAGTCTCAGATGTGAAATCACTGCAGCACAAACAGAAACATGCTTCACAGTCTGATCCAGATGCGCGCTGACCGAACCAGGACCCGTAACAGCACAGATCTTCCACAGGTAGAACAAGAACAGCTCTCAGTTTCAAGCCCGCTTCGCGGCTGCCGAGGGAACCCGGGACTGGACAGGTCTACACACTGAACCAGGGACTGAACCGCAGAGAGCTGTGGACATAGAAACACAACACACAGATCAGTTATGACAGTTCAACCAAATAAGTCAGGCTTTCTAGAAGTGGTAGTGTTTAAGTAAAAGTAACAGCACCACAGTGTCTAAATAATCTGTTACAAGTAAATGTCCTACATTCAAAATGTTGCTTAAGTAAAAGTACACAGGTAAGTACACCCATTAGCATCAAAACACAGTTAAAGTGCAAAAAGTAAAAGTACTCATTACGTGGAATAGAACATTTAACATGAATGTAGTCGGATTAGAACTATTGATGCATTTATTGTGTTCATCAATTTAATGTTGCAGCTGGTATGAGGCGCTAGTTTTAACTAGCTTATATGCTTATAATTTGAATTACTGCTGGGTAATTAGTGAATTTTCCACCTGACATCAATAAAGTTGTATAATTACAGGGGTTTTAAAAATCAGAATCTGAAAAGTAACTAGCAACTGAAGTTATAAAAGAACTGTGGAATAAAAAGTACAACATTTGCCTGTAAAATGTAGTGAAGACGAAGTAGCACAAAATGACAATACTCAAGCAGAGGACCTCAAATTTTTTATTCAGTAAATATACTTAGTTACTTTCCACAACTGCCTTCCAGGTCCTGATATCAGCTGTCACAAATAAAATCATGTTTCCACAGTCCCTATGGGTGGACTAGGCTCCCGGGCCTGGGCCCAGTAGGTCCATTCACTACTCCACCACAGTGTCAAAACAAAAAGCTAAACAGTCAGCACTTTAAATCCAACACAGTGGACAATGAATCTCCCTGGGGTTTCGTCTGGAGAGTGTATATTCTACAGGACGTGGTGGATTTGAGCCAAGTACTTTAGACTGGATATGTTCTGTTTTAGGGCCAAGATAAATACAGACTGTGGTATTTCAGTTTAATACTGTAATGAAAGTTCTTTTAATTTGAACGACTCATGTTGCTCCAACTTCTGTGCATGCAACAATCTTTTAGGTTGATGCAATGAAAGGTAACACAGGATAAATGTTTGAAGACAGGCTCATTTTAACGTTTGCTTGCTGCTGAGGTTGTTTACTTCCTGTACCTTCAAATATCTATTAAATATGAATATGTAGCCCATATAAGAATTTATTGTAGGACTGTTGGATTAGACAGATTAAAAAATAATCTCAACAACAATAATAACAGTAATGTGCTTACAAGTCATAAAGTCAATCAAACCTTTGTCTGCTGACAATGAAACAACCTCAGTTTTTTTTGTTTTGTTATATTTACTTCTGTGTAATAGGCTGATTCACAACGTGAACTTTTAGCCTGATCTCTCTTTTCTATCTGTTCTGTTTCTATGCGTGAGTCACGTACATGTGACGGGTCTCACCGCCTGGACTGATTTCTCCCGGACAAATCAACTGCTGCTCTGCTCACTGCCAGCCAATAGGAGTGCGGCTGGCTACACTCCTATTGGTGGCGCCTCAGGGCTCAGACAGTAAAGCGGAATTGGACGCCATCTTGTTTGTTTTTCTTTACTATTACGGGAAGTGAGGGGGAAACCCGTGGTGACGTCAGCCTAGCCCGACTGACAGGAGAGCTGACCAATCAGAGAGGCAGAAAAAGGCGGTGGGGAGGAAAGTTTTTATTTTTAGTGTTTCATCAGACTGGAGTGATATCACGATCATGATTTAAAACTCACTAAATTACACTGTAATAATAGTAATAATAATAATAGGCATGCATGGTTGTTATGGCTGATATGCAACAATGGAGGAAGTATTCCCATATTTTACTCCAGTATAAATATTTGTACACTGTAAAAAAAAATACTACAATAAAAGTCAAATTCATGCATTAAAGGTAGGGTTGAAAATTCTCTCCAGAAGATTTTTTTATGTTTCTTGAATTCCTCTTTTCATCCCAATGGCAATGAATAGATTAAATGCATTGATAACATAAATTTAAAAAAAATCTGTTATCTGTTGCAGCAGCAGGGCTGAAAAAAGCCTGACCAATAATTTTTCTCATCCCAAGCAAAGCCATTGGACGGCCTACCTGCCTGACAACCTACTTCCTACTTGCGTGCACTCCATGTACTCAATGCACAAGCCAAGAGTATACCCCAAGGTGTGAGCTATGGCAGAGAAGGTACCCACAGCAGCTTTTGTTTGCAAACGAAGGTCAGGCCTTCCCCTTTATGATAGTGATGGGAAGTTCGGATCATTTTACTGATTCACTTCTTTGAATCTCGTTCAGCAGAATGAACAAATCTGTTTTTGAGTGAACTAATCTTATGCGATATTGCACGTGCGTGGTCAACAAAAAATGAACAAATCACTCCCCGAGATGACCCAATGTTCTCGAGTCATGGGAAAGATTCATTAAAAATTAACAAATCGTTTTGTGAACGACACGCCACTACTTTTTAACTCCTTATGAAAGCACTTCAAAACGGCACGTGGAAATTA